TTGACTCGCGAGTCGGCGCGACCAAGTTCAACTTGAAGTTGTCGCGGCGGCGTGTACGGGACATAGTGGTGCTGTGTGATTGTGGTACTATGGACTTGGTGGTACGGTGAAGAGGAGAAGCGGGAAAGGATGCCTGTGGATGTCGTTTTTATGGCGTGGGGATGTGCATATGGTTTTACTGCATTTGATGAGGGTTATATGTGGGGATGATCATGGAAGCGTTTTTGACCTCTGGTGAGTGAACTGGTGGGGAATGAAAAGGTGGATGTGGAGGATGTGCGGGATCAACTCGAAGTGTGAATCTGATGTCGGCTCGACTTGCGATTCATTAACCTACGGGAATTTTACTCGGTGCATACATATATGCTTTGTGTACAATATACAATTGCAAGGGTGGCCTATGGTGTTTCGTGAAGTAGCGTTGTAGATCCAACATATATAGGAGGTATCATTGAGAAGCGAACAAAAACAAAAACAAAACAAAAATGTTCGAAAGGTTCAAGCCGACCGAGTTACACACTCACTGCGCTAAAACGTGGTACAGAGTAACCAAAAGAAACTCGCACCACGCTCTCCAGGCCAATACCTTTTCTGCCATGTCGACATCATAATCCACGTCGGTCTAGCGCTCTTCAGCACATGGAACTGATGCTCTGGCAGGCGAGGGTGCGAATACCCCGCCTGGATCGGACGCCAGGCACCACCTGTCTCGCCATTGCCATTGCGCTCCCAGATCCACACTTTGACATTAGATGGTCCTTGCCAGTGGAGATACAAATCCTCAGGGTCAAAGATCCAACACGGGGTTTGCGAAGGTGGTGAGCGTATGCGAGAGGCACTGGAGGAAGTGAAGTATCGGATATGGACGTCTTTGTTGCGGATCTTGGAATAGCGCATTGTGATAGTAAGAACCGAGTATGCCTTGTATCCTTGTGCTTCGTCGACAGCTGCTGGAACAGGTGATAGGCGTTGAGGATTCGGAGTAGCGTGGACATGAGAGTCTGAATGAGAATATATATCAGCAAAAGCACCAGACGTAGTAAAAGAAGGAATCTGACCAGACGTAACCGCTGGATTGNGGTTCTCCAACGTTGACTGCCCATTACAACGAACAATAGGTAGCTTTGGCTCAGG